GTCAAGATTACATTACGAAAACAATAACATCCTGCTTTCGTCATACGTACTTATTGCAAGAAGTAGTTCACCGTATCTATTCAGATAGCGCGTCTTTTGGATTAAGATACCAAAGAAAGTCAGATAAACTTAGTCAATATTGCTACAAACGAATAGATATCTTCAAACCATTATTTTGGTAGCTCTTCAAAATAATAAGTAAGAGCAACTTTCAGGCCATCATCAGAAGCAATTCTTTTCCCTTGTTTAATTGTTTCTTCAACTTAACTCTTGGAAGCCCGGAAAACTGTTGCCATCAATTTCCCCGCTGTACACTGCATTTTTGCTTATTTTTGGTAGTGGAGATGCTTAATGCACTCACCACATCGACTTGTGTTCTTTTGGAGGATCTCAGTTATATATGGGATTTGATCACCAGTGATAATTTTTAGAAAAATATCGATATCTTGTTTTAAAGCATCCAAATTTGGCTGACTAATTTCGTGCATTACACGTTATGTTCTGGTGAGACGAGTCTAGGAATCCATCGCGCGGTTAAGTTTTCATTATCAAATCTTCGTTTTCAACTCAAACTTTAATTCTTGTTGTCAGTCTTCTTTATTGACCCCTGTGTTGTATCTCAAAAGGCATATCATCAACATCGTTAGCTGACAATATGGCCCTATAATACCGGCCGTAAATGTTTGAGAGTTATTAGGAGGTTTTATTGTGTTGATTTCTCAAATTTGAAAACTACACCATAGACGTGTAGGAAATGAAGAGCCCTTTCTAATGATGTGCCACTCGACCCAATGTTCAATTAAAATAATTATTAAAGGGCTGCTTAGGGAGTTGACGCTAGGAGTTTAAATTTTTAAGTAAAAGTGGTCCTCCCACCAACCAAAATCGACATGTTTTTGATTTTTTTCTAAATTTTGAGTTATTCAACCTGTTTCGTTTTCATTGTGTCGCCCTGTATGTATAGTAATGATCAAGTCATTGATTATCAGGTTGTTTAGATATTCAAGAAAGTGCCTTTTTTAAATGGCATACCCAGTATGACCCACACAAAAAA